AAAAATGCTTGGTTAAAAACAGTGATTAGTTGCACAAAGATGAAAGGAAGAAGAAATAGGCCATATTTATGTGTGTGTTTTTTTCCATGCTAATATGCTATGTGTACAAATAGAATATTTAGTCATGTTCTTGAGAAAACCACAGAGCTTTAACTAGTTATCTAGACTATAAGAGTTCTAAATTAAGTTCTGGGTGAAGCTTTTATAAGTCACAATGTTTAATATAGATTTCTTATGCTGCCCATGATCTGTCTTTATTTCTAACAGTATATTCAGTGGTATCACTATTTATAAACAGAAATTCTTTGTAAACTTTCTTTGCCAAAAAACAAACATCCTGTTGTTATTGATCAGTCTGGGCTCTTTGGTCAATTTTCAAAGGTTTCAATTTACTTTTGTGACAAGTAAAGGAGAATAAATGAAAATCCAGACTTGAGTCTGTACAATGAACATTCTTAGTTAGCATACTGATTATGGGTTTGAGCTGCAGCGTTATCTATCTTTTGATATTTATGTGATTTAGAAGATAAATTCAGCTTATTATAATGTATATACTTAAAGAAAGAAATTATAAATTAACCTAAAAAAACCCTGTAGTTATCTGGAAAATACTTGCTGTCTTGCCAAATTGAACCAAGAGTAGTGGATGTCTCCCTAATGCTAAAATAGTTGGCCTCTTAGAAATAATAATAATAAACAGATATTTTGCTATTATTCAATATCCTAAATCAAATTTAGAACAATATAAGTCTTAATAAATGCTTTCTATTATAAATAAAAATAATCCATGGTTCTGTTAAAATGAAATAAAATCATCATTTAAAATGCTTAATAGAGGCTAAGGAGTCCTGGGGTGTGGCACTGTGGGTTAAGGCACCAGACGGCAAAGTTGGCTTGAACCGCAAAGTCAGCAGTTCAGGCTCATCAGCCGCTACTTGGAAACCCTATACAAGGTCATTATGGGTCAGAACTGACTCGAAGGTACTTAACAACAACAGTATAGGCTATAACATAAGTACATATCCTTCAGTTTGACAACATGGATGGAGCTTTAGGTGTCATGGCAATATACATGCAATTGCATTTTTTAACCTTTCAATAAATTACTTACATGACAACAATTTTACAAAATACTACGCTCTCAAAACTGGTATTGTTGTTAAGTGCCATCAAGTCAGTTCCAATCACAGTGATCCTGTGTAGGGTTGCCAAGGAGCAGCTGGTGAGTTTGAACCACCAAACTTGAGATCCAAACTGACCTTTCAGTCTGGTGCATTGTCCCACAGTGTAAGACAATGGCTAAATACACAGACTGATGAGTTTATGTACTTGGTTAGTAATTACTAGCTTTGCAATTGTTGGTAAGTTACTTAGCATCTCTGAGCCTCCTGTGTGGAGATAATGATAATCCCCAAACTACTGTCCTGAGATTGTCTATAAGCCATAAACCTTAAACCAAACTATCCTCTGATGTGTTCTTAAAATCAAACAACAGTTTGGCTTAATTAGTAAAGAATGTCTGCCTTGAGTCAATGAATTGTACATGTAGAAATAAATGACTTGGTATATGTTCAATGTGCATATTTTCAACAACAACAAAAATAAATTATTTTTTGGTATAATTCAATAACTCTATATAACGGTTATAAAAATAATTATCATTTGTATAAGGTTATTGTCAGAGTCCTGGAGTAGTACTGTAGGATATGCACTAGGCTGCTAACTGAAAGGTTAGGACTCCAAATCCAACAGCCACTCCTTGGAAACCCTATACAGGGTCACTATGATTCGGAACCGACTTGACAGCACTTAACTACAACAAGGTTACTGTCAGGCTCAAACAAATAAATTTATATACAATGCTTGATAAATGCCAACTTATTCTTAACAAACTACTAATAAAAACCAGTTTCCATTGAGCCAATTTTAATTCATTAGTATCCCATTTGTCCAGAATTTGTTCATAGAATTTTTATGGCTGTGATCGTTCAGAAGTAGATGGTCATACTTTCCTTCTAAGTATCTATGGGTTGACTTGAACCTTCGCTCTGGTTAGTAACCGCACATAAACTGTTCACCTAATTGTTCAAAACTATTAACAGATGTGAATTACTAATGACAAAAGACTAATTAGGAGTCCTGGTGTGATATTGCAGTACAATGCAATGGACCACAAAGTCATTTTGAGCCACAAGGTCGGCAGTTCAAACCCACCAGCTACTCGTCACTATGAGTTGGAACCAACTTGATGACACTTAACAACAACAATAACAAAGATTATTTTGAAAAATATTTTTGCAATTACTAATAATTAACTTATTTTGAAGAAAAAGTCCATTCTATAGCCATTACCTTTATTACTGAAATCATCAATTAACACAATTTCTGCTAAATATTTCCTTGGAGTCCTTTTAATTACACTGTGGACTGTTCTCATGAGGGTTGACCATCCTTCATTATGGAAGACAATGACAACACTGGAAGTCAGCAGGTTTTCATCATAATGCCAATATTTGCATCTGCAAAAGGAAAATTTAATCATAATTACTAGATAATCTCTAATCTTTGTTCTGAGTTTATTATGATTATGTTTTCTGATTAGATTAAGTATTACTGATTTAACTAAGTTAATGACATACAACCATTTTCATTTTAACAGAAACAACCAGCTGAACAGAGAGGGTACAAATGAAGTTACCCCTAGACAAAGGTGCTTCCTATCCAACTGGTACTTACCTTATGATAAACAGAACTAATTTGTAAATTTATGTTTCTCAGTGGGGGATACTTAAATTATTTACAACTCTCAGGGTTTTCTTTTTTTTTTTCATGACTTAGATCTCAATATACTGGACTTTTAATAAACAACATCATCATAAACAGAAAAAAGATTTAAATTATCAAGGATTTCCTTTCACCTGGATCTACAATCAACACTCATGGAAGCAGCAATCAAGAAATCAAAGGATGCTGAAATTAGAGAGAAGAAGAAAGGCTGGCTGGTCTGAAGTTTAGGGAGCTGTGTGAACTCCTGAGCTCACAGGCACTGACATAGCCACTGGGGGTTAGAGCTGAGAGTGAAGTGAGTGAAGTGCAGAGAGGCGTGTGTGAACTCCCAAACTTGCAGCTAGTACCCATTTGACCTAGCTTGGATGGTTAGCTGACCAGAACTTGACCAGATGAAGATAAGTAATGTGAGTAAGTGTAAATTGCTACAATTTGATGAACTGGATCTTTGTTTATGGATGCAGTGGCACAAAATTCCAACTGAAATGGAAGGATTCTTCATATCAAGGATTAAGTTTGTTTTCTCAGTGCACTGGGTTGATGGAAACAGGCAATTTAGGCATTGTCTATCAAAAATGGGGGGCCAAAAAAAGGGGGGTTATGAAGGCATGAAGTGGCTGGCTTACAAGCTTTCATGAGTGTGCTCAGTTTTCCCTCTTTCCAGATGGATCTGATGAAAGGGGATGGAGGATGATGCTGACAGGATTTTATGACTGAACGGTAAGTAACTGTTAGCAGGATTAATTGAGATAGTCACAACTGTAATTATAGAAGATGTGTAACTAAAAGTGGAGAGTAGTTAATCTTTCATGTCAGGAATGGAGGATCCCAGGATCATCAAGAAGGAAGAGATGTGTGCAGCATGAGATCCTACCTAGAAAAGTGGCTACAGCAGAGACAGTGGCAGACGCAATGGTATGGAGAGATAGATAGCACAACTGTGGACTCTAAAGCCATGGATTGAGAAAGGTTGTGTGCTTGCAGGCAAGAGACTGGCTTGCAAAATGTGCCCTTTGGGTATTTAAATACATACATATTTTTTCTTTTGTATGTATACCTCAAATATTTTTACTTTGTTGATTTGTGAAAAATAAGATGTAAAAGGGAAACCAGAGAGGAAGCAGGGTAACTGCTGTTGCAGGGAGGACTTTGTAATCATTTAAATGAAACACAATGTGTGACTGGTTGAAAGTAAAGTTGATAATCTTGTCTGTTAACCATCATCACTCAATTCACAATAAAAAGTATAAAAAAAGAGAAATCCAAGGATATATTACATTAAGCTTATCTGCTGCTTAAAGAACTCTTTAAACTGTTAAAGAGGAAAGGTAGCACTTTGAGGACTAAGGTACACCTAACCCAAGCCCTGGGATTTTCAGTCATTTCATATGTATGTGAAAGCAGAACAATGAATAAGAAAACCAAAGAACAGATGCCTTTGAATTATTGGTTGATGAAAAATACCGAATGCACCTTGGATGGGCAGTCAAACATACAAATCTGTCTTAGAAGAAGTACAGTCAGAATGCTCATTAGAAGTGATGATAGCGAGACTTCATTTCACATACTTTGGATATGTTATGAGGAAGAACTAGTCCCTGGAGAAAGACATCATGTTTGGTAAAGTAGAGGGTCAGAAAAAAAAGAGAAAAACACTCCATGAGATGGACTTACACAGTGGTTGAAACAATGGCTCTAACAGGAATGACTGTAAGGCTGGTGCAGCACTGTATTTTCATGTGGTTACTATGAGTCAGAACACATGCAACAGCACCTAACAATAGATTTCAGTTTATTTTCCTTTTTGAAACAAGCTTTTAGTGCAAGGGAGTTACTTCACTTACTCTGAATAAACCACTATGTTGGAAAGATATTCAGTCTCATATGGCTAAAATATTCTGGAAACCAAACAGACTGACCTGAAGTATATTTAGCAGACATTCAGAAATTTACTGTTGAATGAATAAGCAACATTCTAATATTGTTTAGAGCTATTAGACTGCATGAAGAAGGATCTGTACTCTACACAAACTTATTTGAAATAGGAATGAAGTTGCCATAAATATTTTCCTAATTAGAAAGAAACCCCAAACCAAAACTAAAACCAAATCAGTTGCTACTGAGTGGATCCCAACTCATAGAGAGCCCACGTGTCTGAGGAGAACTGTACTCCATAGGGCTTTCAATGGTAGAGTTTTTGGAAGTAGATGGCATTTCTTCAGAGATGCCTCTGAGTGAACTTGAACCTTCAACTTTTGTTTAGCAGCCAAGTGAGTTAAACATATGTACAATTGAGACTCCAAAACCAAAAACAATGAAGACCAACCTTATACAGACCACGAGGCACAGTTTTTTGAGCTTCATAGAAACACACTATGAGTACACAGAGTACAAACATTCACACATACACATTTATCTTTTATTTTTTCTGATTGGCTACAGAAGAATAAATAGTATGAACAAGATAGACTAATGAGAATGATTAGACACCCATGTTCTTTCTGCAGGCATTAGTTTTCAGAGTTTACATTTGGAGCTCATTGTTAAATGCCATTGAGTTGGTTCTGACCCACCGTGACCCTGTCACTTCCTTAATCAGGAGCCCTGGTAGTATAGTGGATTATGTGTTGGGCTACTAACTGAAAGGTAATCATTTCAAATTTACCAGTTGCTCTGTGGAAGAAAGATGAGGCTTTTTGTTCCCATAAAGGTTTACAGCCTTGAAAACTCTGTAGTGGGTCGCTATGAGCCAGAACTGACTTGGTGGCACACAACCACCGCCACCACCTCCTTAATAAGTGGAAGGGAAGGGATTTTGGTTTTGTACTCACCCAATCGTATGAGAAAGATTTTTTTTTTAATACCAAAAGCTTTTCATGAAGCAGTAAGTAAGCTAGTACCAAAGATGAAACTAAAATTTAAACCAAGATTTGTTGTTGTTATGTGCTGTGCAGTCGGTTCCGACTCATAGCGACCCTGTACAGGGTTTCCAAGGCTGTAAATCTTGACGGGAGCAGAAAGCCTCATCTTTCTCCCTTGGAGCAGTTGGTAGTTTCGAACTGCTGACCCTGAGATTAGCAGCCCGATTTGTAACCACTACGCTACCAGAGCTACTAAACCAAAATATATAGATGCAATAATTAACATTATCAGCTTGATCAAATACAAATATTTAGGAGAGTAATCATACTAATGAAAGGGCCTGAACCAATTAAGTATGGAAACAATCCTTTCTCCAGGTACTTATTGCCCTTTCAAAATTGGTGAAAATTTTCTATGTTCTTAAGGGTTATTTTTATAGAAAAGCACCCTGGGATTTTAAATCTATTTAATCTTACTTCTTGTATTTGGATGTTCTCATTAAATATCTATTCTGTACCCACTAAGCCCTATGCTCTGAGCTAGACACTAGAGCTATAGTATCAAATAAGACAAAATGAAGCCCACAATATTAAAAGAGAGGCATGCAGTGAAACTTCGTACTTTTCCTGATTGTTATCAGTGAGCAAAATGTAGAGTGCATATGACAAGTAGAACGCAGCCTTGAACATATGATCAAAAAGGCATCTTGTTGACATCAAGGTGAGACCAGAATGATGATTTTAAAAAAGTACTAAGACCAAAGAAGTGGAAAGGGAGTGAATGTTGATTGTATAGCCAAGTAAAATGATGTCTTTGATAACTTCAATCTTTACTCCATTTATCATGATGTTACTTATTGCTCCAGTGGGGAGGATTTTTGTTTTCTTTATATTGAATTGCAATCCATCCCAAAAGCTGAGGTCTTTAATCTTCATCAGTAAGTATTTTAAGTTCTTTTTGCTTCCAGCAAGCAAAGCTGCATCATCTGCATACTGAAAATTAATAAATCTGCGTAGTGGTTACGAATCAGGTTGTGAATCTCAAGGTCAGCAGTTCGAAACTACTAGCTGTTCCATGGGAGAAAGATGAGGCTTTCTGCTCCTGTAAAGATTTATAGCCTCGGAAACCCTGTACAGGGTCGCTATGAGTCAGAACCGACTCCACGGCACATAACAACAACAGTCTTAATGCCACATTCTTTTTCATATAATCTAACTTCTCAGATTATTTGCTTGGTATACAAATTGAATAAGTAGGTTGAAAGGCTACAACTCTGATTTTACCTACAATACCTTTCCTGATTTTAAACCATTCAGTATCCCATTGTTCAATTCTAACAATTGCCTGTTGGTCTATGTACAGCTTCCTCATGAGCACAATGAAGTATCCTGGAATATACATTCTTTGCAATGTCACCCATGGTTTATCACGAGCTACATAGCTGAAAGCCTTTACATAGTCAATAAAGCACACAAACAAATTTCTGGTTTCTTTGCTTTCAGTCAAGAGCCATCTGACATCAGCAATATCCCTAGTTTCAATCCCACTTCTGAATCCAGCTTCAATTTCTGGCAGTTCTCTGTCAATTTACTTTTGCAATCATTTAAAAATTATTTTCAGCAGAATTTTACTTGCATGTGATATTAATGATATTTTAGATGAGGTATTGGGGTAAACTTCCCTTCTTTTATATAATTTCTCTGACTCTTCTAGCAGAGAATCTGTAGTAACAATTTTTATTTTAAAAAGGCCATGTGAAATAAGAATGATACATTTTAAAAAATGGGTAGGTCTTCTTATACATGATTTACTAATTCCTGCTCTCTGGCATTTCAGAGCTTAAGTTATATTAAGTAATAATAATAACCCC